AAATATTTCCCTAAATTCATTATCAACAACAAATACGGTCACTACGGTCAAATACGGTGAACTATCAGCAATTTCCGTCCTAGCGTGCAGAGATCTGAATACATCATTTACTTTCAAGGCAGTCTACAGAAAATGGCTGAATGCTACTTCCGGTATTGCTCTCATTACATCTCGGCTGTTTCCGGCAATTCTTTGCCTCTGTTATGCTACATTGTAGAAATTGTAGTGTCATACGTGATGGTCACGCTATGCCTCCAGCCTACAGGAGCACTAATCTGGCATAGCAGCGTTCTTGTGTCAGTTGTCAATAGATCATTTCTCTTTGAAGTTTGTATCGGTCTTGTGCAATTTGCACAAAATTAGATGTTGGTCGATAGAAATATAATGTATGCGGCATTCAATATTTTGAAGAATTTTTTTAGCTATTCGAAGCGTCAACGGATAGGTAATTTCATAAAGTTTGTTGTAAACAGACTGATGTTTCACACCTTTATCAGCAATATTCCAACCAAATTGCGGGGGGCACGGGTGGCCCAGTCGTCTAAGGCGCCGCGATTCGCTGTGCAGGGTTGCGTCCCTTGGGCACGCCAGAAACCTATGATTGTGGGTTCGAATCCCGGTTCACCCCGATTATGTTTATAGGTTTGTCAGCACCATACCCGTGCTCGTGGGTTTCACCGAAGTGGTAAACGTCTTAGACCTGCATCACTTCGGGCTTTCCTCCCACATTAAGCTGACATGCCGCGATATAACTGGAATACTGTTAAAAGCGGCGTTAAACCCAACTCACTCACTCACCCAACCAAATTGCGATCCGACAGACCATTAGTTCAAACATGTAAATGTAACACGTGCTCTGGCCGAGTTCATTGAGGAATGCGGGGGTGGTTGGGTTAAATGTGCTCACGTGACCGCTTGTCCTTTACAAATTAAAATATATGCGTATGTATTCGCATTTGTAAATGTTGTGACTGAGATAGTTCAGTGGGCGCATTCATCTATACCCATAGATCATCATGTTTTGTGAAATTTTTTAAAAAAGAGCAGTGACTACTGAAAGCGCGACAACTCGACGTTTTGAAGAAATGTCGCATTGTCGCGCTTTGTCAAAATATTAAAATTTGCAGTAATTATTTCAAGCGCGACAATGGGACAACGCGACATTTTGATGAAATGTCGCATTGTCGCGCTTTTCCAACACTGACTGACTGATATAGAAGATTTAACGTGCGCTTTCCGACTGCAGCGTATTTCGCACACGGTTTTCCAACACGAAGCAAGCGCTCTTTTGTATCGAATGTATGATTTAATTTGATTTGTTGAATGTGAAATGGCTCTTAATCCTATGAATACAAACTGAATTGGACCAAATTTAGCCTTTGTTATATTTGATATGTAAGTGTATTCCGTAGTATTTGCAAAAGGATACGTAGTAATTAGGTCAACTGTCATTTGATTGGTTGTATTTGAAATGGTTTTAAATCCTGAAATAGACTATGTTAAATTGACCTTAGGGTTTTTAAGTTTTATATGTGTATGTGTACCGGATCATTTTTACATTTGCTGTGTTCCTGTGTTCTATCCCTTGCATTTTTTTCCCAAAGCGCATCTTTCTTCTGGCGACCGATAATACAATTTATATTTCATGATCCCCTACTTGTTTTGAAGAGTATATATCTTATACATAGTTAATGCAAATAGTAAACGCAACGCCAGAGAATAACCAGTCTCGATTATCCGACGAAACAGATTCCATTCGAAACTTATGGGAATGGATAACTGAAAATCAGTGATCTCGTGCACCAGGTGTTCACGAAAAGTGTAATTATTTCCTGCCTTTAAAATATTCAGTTTTGAAGATGAATATAATTCACAATTTTGATACCGTCTTGCCACCTAACCATACTTGTACCAGTTAGTTTTCTTTTTCCATCGTCTAATTTACATATTCTTTTAGTTTGTTTCATTATTTTTTCTGTTTGATTGTTTGATTGTTTGATTGTTTGATTGTTTGTTGTTCAACGCCGGACTCAGCAATATTCCAGATATATGACGGCGGTCTGTAAATAATCGAGTCTGGATCTGACAATCCAGTGATTGACATCATGCGCATCGATCCACGTAATTGGGATACGATGACATGCATCAACCAAGTCAGCGAGCTTGGCCACCCGATCCCGTTAGTCGCCTCTTACGGCAAGCATAGTCGTCTTTTACGACAATCATGGGTTGCTGAAGACCTATTCTACCCCGGATCTTCACGGGTTTTCGATCTTCCAGACTAGATTTGGTGTTAATGTGTTCCTTTTTTCTAAGTGACTGTTTACCGTTAAGTGACTGTTTACCCTTAAGTGACTGTTTACCATACCACAGGTAGTAATAACTTTGTTTACTAGTTATTTCCATTATTGGAAAATAGAACTTAAGTATTAAATTGAGTGTCAGTACAATATTCAGTGTCAGTAGAAAATTCTTAAATTGAATTTATTTCTATTTCCGACAGAACTTTAAAGGCGAGTTGTGTCACGGATCTGATCGCGAGGAAATTGCAGACAAGACAACAAGATTTGTCTCCCTTACATTCAGAAGCAAACGAAGCGCCATAAAAATAACTCACCATCAGTTCAAACTGTTGAAACACATATTTTCTTTGTGTGCGGTTTTTACAATCTAAGATTGGGTTATAAATCAAGGTCTGATGCGGTGAATTTGAATTTATTACATGTTACGAAATATGTATGTTGAAGCACATCAAGAGGGGAATGGTCAGGTGAGTTGCCAAAAAAATATCCGATCAAAGGATTAACCGAAAATACGTAGATTTTGTTAAAAAGTGGATTTGTCAAAATTAAGTGTTTACTAAAGCAGACGGGATACACCCGTATATGGGCGTGAAGTACCGATGTAAAAACAACATACTTTGCTCAAAGGATTAACCGATAATACGTTGATTGATTGCTCATTGTTATCTAACTCAGGGAATATTTTAAAGACCAGTGGACATCTTTAGAATAGTTGTCACGTGTGCTGTCTCAGCTGAGCAAAGCGACATGACACCTATGTAAATTGTGAGTGAGTGAGCGATTTGGGTTTAACGCCACTTTTAACATTATTTCAGTTATATCGCGGCGTGTCAGCTTAATGTGGGAGGAAAGCCCGAAGTGATGCAGGTCTCAGACGTTTACCGCTTCGGTGAAACCCACGAGCACGGGTATGGCGCTGACAAATTTAGAAACATAATCGGGGCGAACCGGGATTTGAACCCACAATCATAGGTTTCTGGCGTGCCCAAGGGACGCAACTCTGCACAGCGAATCGCGGCGCCTTAGACGACTGGGGCCCCCGTGCCCGCCCGCCCCGCCCCCGCCCCCGCCCCCGCCCCCGCCCCCGCCCCCAGACATTCCAGTGATTCATATCATAAGCATCAATCCACGCAATTGGGATCGATGACATGCTTCAACCAAGTCAGCGAGCCTGACTACCCGATCCCGTTAGTCGCCTCTTACGACAACCAGAGTCGCCTTTAACGGCAAGCATGGGTTGCTGAAGACCTATTCTACCCCGGATCTTCTGATAAAGTAATAGTTTCAGATACAATTCATCCGACCATTGCATAAACATTCTTTGAAGTTATATTGTTATATGGCAGCGTCATTTATTGTTAAACAATGATTGTAACTGTATTACATTGCTTCTGACGAGATTCGGTAGAAGTTCAATTGCATTGTCAGGAATGTAGTAAAAAGCAGTGGCGAGGAAGTTATTATATTTAGATGCTCGAATTATCTGTAAACTTCCGGAATAACATCGATGGATGTTAAGCCTAAAATATCCTGTGATGTTCTAGTGACACATCTCACATTTCATCTGACATTACATCAAGACCAGCTTGTGTGAAGATTACTTTTAACCTGGTATCCAAGCCCATGCCTATATCGGAAGCTTTTTATATTATTCTTGTCATTTCCACTGCTCTCACATTTTATACTGCAATTGAATATTGTCGCACCACTCTGTTGTGTATTGCCATTGTAATAGCTGTGCAGTAATTTGTATTAATTTGTACATCAAGTTAATTTTGTAATACAATTGTTGATGGTATACCATTTGTTGGTTTCACACTAAATTCTTTTACGTACATATTTATGGGTCAACATTGCTTCAATCCGGGAATCGATTCGTAACAAAATTATTGCATCGAATGCATATAAAACAATGCCGAGCAGAACAGAAAATACAACTGTTTAATTTTGAAATCTTATATATTTGCATTGGGTACGGATTCGCATTTTGGGGGTACCAGTCATCGAGTTGATTAGGTACGACTGGGTACAGGTTATCCAACGTGTGGGTACGAGTCCGTCAAGAACGATTGGGTGCGGATCTCCATGGGAACAGATTGTTGAGTTCCCTCTCGGAGCATCAGTTACGTGCATTAAAAATAGCACCAAAACGCCGCAGCTTACTAACTCTAAACAAAATGTAAATAATCTCTTATATAAGCTTATAGCAAACAAACAAATTTCACCCTACATCCCACCCCAGGCAAACAAATAAAATAATAATTGAAACATTGTTTTAAAAAGTGATAACAAATATGCGTCGGAATACGTCAGGGTAGGTGAAATATGAGTGCATCTCATATTGTTTATGTTATATTATAATTAATATTGAAAAACAGACTGCCTCAGTTCTGTTATAAACCAAGTCATGCCCAGGCGTATGATTGGTTGGTTTTGTTGTTTTACGCCGCACTCAGCAATATTCCAGCTATATGACGGCGGTCTGTAAATAAACGAGTCTGGACCAGACAATCCAGTGATTGAAATCATGAGCGTCGATCCACGCAAATGGGATCGATGACATGCATCAACCAAGTCAGCGAGCCTGACCACCCGATCCCGTTAGTCGCCTTTTACGGCAAGCATGGGTTGCTGAAGACCTATTCTACCCCGGAATCTTCACGGGGTCCCAGACGTATGAATAATAACAACACTAAATTCGATTTCGATGTCTTTATGTAACACGGAATTCAAATACAGCACCTTCGGTCTTAGGGATTATTTACAACAATGGTAATAGCTAACTGTGTGTGAAAGCCGTGAAATGACCAGAACGAATGATATATGTACAGCTGCGTATAGTTTAGAGGTATATGAGCTTCTATGTATAAACATACAGATAGCCTAGTCCTAACGCTTAAAACACTTAGAATCGTGTGCTTATTTAACTGCATTGCACATAAAGATGTATGCCAATATTAAATAATTAAATAACAATGAAGTACACGACTAATCTAGATGACAATACACAGAACATTTATGACAATATACAGAACATTTATGACAAAACATAGAACACAAGACGATGCACAAAGTGACAAATGCATACAACATCACGTTTTTTGAAAATGTTTAGGTATAAACTTAAAACTAGTTTCACTGTAAATGCAGAAACATCTAAATGTTGAAAGTGAAAATTTTGAATGGGGTCTTTAAAGTAAAGTTCAATATGAAATCGAATATAACTGTCGTGATGTGAACATAAACATATACTAAAAGTTTCTGAACTAAAAATACCACTTGATGTATCACGTGACGAGCAACAGTCTTTGGTTGCTGGAAGCACTTGGGGTATGACGTCACAATCACGTGCGGCGCATGGCCTGCCGTGAAAAAGTCTGTTAAGTTCGATGACGTCGGTTCACACGTGACGTGGTATAGTTTATAAGTCACTCTCTTAAAATGTAACACAAACACCTTAAAACAATAGCACTAATAAGGTGATGCGTTAATTCATGTGAATATAGCACTAATCACATCTCTCGTCCCAACACGAAAATAAGGCCTTTGTAAAGAAAGACCATGAAACAAGTTCTCGTAACGTGAATGGTAACCAATATCAAAACGTCCCATTTTCGTTCACCAAATGACGGGCAACACAACACAGCCAAGTTGTCAGTGTCCTCACGACAATGTCTACATGATGGCCCATCATCAACCCAGGTCTTGGAAGTCCCTGAACAAGACGGAATAGCAGTGTTCGCCATTTTGAACGTATCACATGGTTTAGGTACTTCTTTCACGCAAACATGTTTTCATCCTGAAGAAACATTCGCCCACACACAACATCGGACCTTGGGATCACATTCACAACCGCAGAGTTCGTCAATCAGTTTTCTTTACTTGAGGATTTTTCACGACTGTTCCCTTTTCTCCGATTTTTTTGTGCTGAAAATATAAATATAATGTTATTTAGACCACGCCTTCATGAAAATCTGCCCGTAAAGAACTTGGTTAGAACAGGTCTTCAGCAACCCATGCTTGTCAAAAAGAGGCAGCTAACGGGATCGGGTTGTCATGCTCGCTGACTTGGTTGATGCATGTCATTGTATCCCAATTGCGTAGATCGATGCTCATGACATCACTCACTGGATCGTCAGGTCCAGACTCGATTATTTACAGACTGCCGTCATATATACTACTCAAAAGAAGTTAAGGATCACCCAATTCTGTTCTATTACTATAGTTAATCTCTCATGCCATCACAGATTAACAATAGTATTTTGAAGGAATCTGCTGATCCTTAACTTCTTTTGAGTAGTATAGATGGAATATACCCGAGTGCAGCGTTAAACAACATACAAACATTTTCATGTAATTCTACATAAACCATCATTGTTACAACGTCTGTCAGAATGTGACAGTCAAATATGTAGGACCACATGGACACACAGACAGACATACGCCCAAACATGTGCACAGCCACACGGATCCATGGATCCATAGACACATGGACATATTTGAACACAGTGTCGGGGACATTCACATTGGCACTCAAACAGATGGACACATGAGGTGAAGTGGGGTGAAATAGGGTTTAACGTCGCGTCCAAGATTTTTGCACTTATATAGCGACGTGCATGCACGTGTGTGTGTGTGGCTGCTTGTACTAGTCCGGACTGATGCCGATTTATAGTGCTAGCTCACTGAGATACCATGCCGCAGTTTAACATGAATACCCCACTCAGACACAGTATACTGACTCCGAGCCGACCAGTCCTTGTTTTTGCCCCTTAATGCCGAGCGCCAGACAGGGTATTAACAAGTACCATCTTTTAACGTCTTTTGGTATGACGCGGCCGGGGATCAAACCGGGTGGACGCTCTACCACTAGATCACGGAGGCGGTCTGATGGACACATGAACAGGCATGGATATATCTGGTTACATGGACACGCAGACACTCAAACAACAGATGGGCAGACACATGGACACATTGATATATGGATATATACTACTCAAAAGAAGTTAAGGATCACCCAATTCTTTCATATTGGTAATGTTAATCTGTCATGGCATGAGAGATTAACTATTGTAATATGAAAGAATCAGGTCATCCTTAACTTCTTTTGAGTAGTATATTAGGACTCAGATTGGCACATGCACACGGACACGAACCCAGTGTACATACCTTGACACTCTCGACAGCACGGGTCTCGCAAGAAGGGATCATTTGCGCATCGCTTCTTTGAACAGCGAATCCTACACTTCGATGTGCTGTTCTTACATTTACACACGGCGCAGCGCACGGTGCCTTTGGGAGCCGTCTTTGGACGCCACTTTTCTCCGTTCCTGTAAGTCCGGCCACCGAAGTTACACATCCCTTCATCCTTGGGTTGTTCCTCATCATCAGCAGGCTGGTTAGCTACAAGACAAAGGGCACAGTTGTATAACAGATGGCTGGCCTTAAAAGAGCTGCCGCTCGTCAGATATTTGTTGGTGAGCGAGTTTGGTCATTCCTGAGCAACTCGTGTTCTTCCGGGGCAAGCCGAATAGCGACTCGTGCCCCTCTCATGGCCAGTTTTGCGACCGGGTTCCGTCTTAGCGCAAACGGGCATACCTAAAACAATTGTCAACTCGTTGCGTAATGGTTCACATATATTTCCCCAAATATTATATATATTTTAGATACAATTTAAAGCACATCGGGACATGCGGAATTATACAGTGTGATTGACCACATTTAACTTGTCTTGGGTATATTTTTAGATATAAGACATATGTTAAATCAAAAATTGTTTCTGACGGATTCTTTGACGAAGAACTTGAAATCATACGCGCATTCTGATTGGTTTGTCGTATTTTCGCACATAACATTCATCGATAGGGGAGCGAGTCTTCTTGCAGGTTACGGAAAGGGGCGAGTGGGGTTTAACACTGGTTTCAACAGTATTCCAGTTATATCACGGCGTGTCAGCATATTGTTGGAGGAAAGCCCGAAGTGATGCACGTTTACCACTTTGGTGAAACGCACGAGCAGGGTAGGGCCTGACATACATAGAAACAATCGAGGCGGAAAGGAATACGAACCCACGACCATAGGTTTCTGGCGCGATCAAGGGACGCAACTCTCACAGCCAATTACGGCATCCACAACGGCTGATATCCCAACCCCGGTACCGGTACTGTTTGAAGTGGGCTCGTCCGAATTGACACATACCGGATTACATTTAATGAGAACGGAGTTATGCCCCTTTGTACATGTGAGAACGTTATGGCGGGCAAGGTTTCCAGACTGTATAGAGATACTTACGGTCACAGCTGTAACAACAGGAGTTGGACTTCCTGATCTTTCTCTTACAGTTGAGCCTGGGACATTTCTGTCGTCCGCAGTTGTACACACCCGTCTTACACCTGCACACCACGCACTTCATGTAGCCGAACGGGGCGATCTTCGGGTGCCATCGGGAACCATCGGCAAACACCTCGTCCATGAACGTGCATGCGCCTACCATGTCGATGTCCTTGAGAGGTTTCACTTCCGGTATCACGACTCGTTCCTTCTTGGCTGCAAAAAGGAGAAGCATACAAGTGTTAGCATACAAGTATTTTTTCGGTACATACATCAAAATTGCTGGGACCGTCAATTATCCCGAGCCTCGTCACATTTTACGATAGTGAGTGCGTTGTTACTGTTTATTTGTTTTGTCACTCAGCAATATTCCAACTATATGACGGCGGTCTGTAAATAATCGAGCCTGGACCAGGCAATCCACGGATGGACAACATGAGCATCGATCTTCACCATTGGGATACGATGGCATGCTTCAACCAAGTCAGCGAGCCTGACCACCCGATCCCATTAGTCGCCTCTCACGACAAGTATAGTCGTCAGTTAGGGCAAGCATGGGCTGCTCAAGACCTATTCTCCACCCGGATCTCAACGGGTCGGTATTCAGTTCAGTAGGTCCTTACAGACGCGGGGTGGACTCCAAAGTAGCCCAGAGTGCAAGTAACAAGGAGTGAGTGAGTTGGGTTTAACGCCGCTTTTAACATTATTCCAGTTATATCACGGCGTGTCACCTTAATGTGGGAGGAAAGCCCGAAGTGATGCATGTCTCAGACGTTTACCACTTTGGTGAAACCCACGAGCACGGGTATGGTGCTGACAAACCTAGATCCATAATCGGGTCGAACCGGGATTCGAACCAACAATCATAGGTTTCTAGCGTGTCCAAGGGACGCAACTCTGCACAGCGAATCGCGGCGCTTTAGACGACTGGGCCACCCGTGCCCCTCCAATTAACAAGGAACCACCACCTCCTTTAAGGTGTTCAACCAGCTGTAGATTCCTGTCATGCATGATATACGTACGTCCACAGACTTGGCAGCAGTCACCGGGATTTGTTCGCACCCGCTCGTCTGCAGGGCAATCCAGTTTAGGGCAGGGGAGTCGGTCACACTTGGGTACACCTCCCGGCTAGTGAGAAAAAAATCACATATAACGGTGAATATCACGATCACAGCGTGAGTGAGTATGCATTTACGCGGCTTTCAGCAATATTCCAACAATATCACCTAGCAGGGACACCCGGTGAGGTGAGGTGAAATGGGGTTTAACGTCGCGTCCAAGGTTATTGCACTTATAGCGACGTGCATGTACGTGTGTGTTTGTGTGGCTGCTTGTACTAGTCCGGGCTGATGCCGATATATAGTGCTATCTCACTGAGATACCATGCCGCAGTTTAACATGAATACCCCTGCCGAGCGCCAGACAGGGTAACAACAAGTACCATCGTTTAACGTCTTTTGGTATGACGCGGTCGGGAATCGAACCCGGACCTTCCACTCTCCGGGCGGACGCTCTAGACCACGGAGGCGGTCCAGGGACACCTGGGATGGGTTGCACATGTTGTACCACCTGGGAATCGAACCCGGCTATCGGCGTGACGAGCGAACGCTTTAACACGGGGCTGCTCTTCCTTTCTTCAACGAGAGTGTTAGGTGACGATGTGTCAGCTAAATGTGGCAAAGATGATGGATGATAATCAGGGCGGATATAGGTTTAAAATCGTCATCTGCGGATCCTGTCACGAATGAGGGACGCAAATCAATGGTGGTGAATTAGTGCAGTGGGCAATCTTCAGAAAGCAAGTTTAGGATAAAGGAGGGTTGTTTATTTTATGCAAGAGTGAGTGAGTGAGTTGGGTTTAACGCCGCTTTTAACAGTATTTCAGTTATATCACGGCGTGTCAGCTTAATGTGGGAGGAAAGCCCGAAGTGATGCAGGTCTCAGACGTTCACCACTTCGGTGAAACCCACGAGCACGGGTATGGTGCTGACAAACCTAGAAACATAATTGGGGCGAACCGGGATTCGAACCCACAATCAAAGGTTTCTGGCTTGCCCAAGGGACGCAACTCTGCACAGCGAATCGCGGCGCCTTAGACGAATGGGCCCCCCAACCCCCCATTTTATGCAAGAAGACAACCTACAAACTTACCAGGCATTTGCACAGCACACATTTGGTGAAGCCGGAGAGAGGAAGAAAGGGGTGCCACGTGTCTCCGATGTTATGTTGTCTGTGGTCTCCTTCAAGCTCGCAAGTGGTATTCTCCACTCGGGTCTCTTGTTCGGTCGCATCCGGGCACCTAGGGCAGCACTCTCCCTGCACGGGGTTGGCGCACGTGACGGCTGGGCATAGCACGTGGTGGCAAGTGACTGTGCGTTTCTGTGAACGACATAGAAACAGTGATTTTCAGTTCAACAGTATATGTGATTGGGGTTGGAGAGCTTTGAACAGTATTTCAGTTATATCGCGGCGTGTCAGCTTAATGTGGGATGAAAGCCCGAAGTGATGCAGGTCTCAGACGTTTACCACTTTGGTAAAACCCACGAGCACGGGTATGGTGCAGACAAACCTAGAAACATAATCGGGGCGAATCTGGGATTCGAACCCATTTTAAACTTTGAATACACCAGGGGCACAACTCTAAGGAATTGGCCACCCGTGATGCCACATATACATACAAAATTAATCACTAGTGGATAAAGGTAACGGTCAGTCGGTTAATGGTTCCATTCGAGATGTTAAGCGCCCAACAGGGTGCTGTCACTGTAGCGAATGGGCCGTCGCTGCGAGGAGTTTAGGTCTAGTCCACTAGATACCAATTACATCGACGCTGTGAGGAGCTTGGTGCCAGAACACTAGATACTACTTACATTGCAACTGCACCTGTTGCACGTGGCATTCACAACAGGCTTCCAGCTGTCGCCGTTTTCAAAGTATTTCCCTTCGTAGTAGCAACGGAATTTGAGTTCTTCGTTTTCGTCCTCGCGTTGTTCGTCGACCAAGATGTCGGTGTCGATGTCGCCGGCGTACTGCCAGCAGGTGTTTGGAAGAGTCACCTAGTGGCAATAGTGAAGGATTCGTGTAGCGAAATGACAATAATTAATATACATTTATTTCTACATGATACTGATCTGGTCTATATGTATTTATTTTTTTTGGATTGAGTAAAATCATGTTAACATCTGTTTTCTGTCCTCTACCTACACTGTTACTATGTATACTACTAAAAAAAATAAGAGAACACACGATACTTTCATATTGATGTAGTGAATCTGTGTTCGGGTAATCTTTATCTTCTTTTGGGTGGTATCAAGCAATGCACCAGCTTATTAGAAGGGTCTGACCAGTTCATATTCTAGGTTGGATTTCATTGACAAATATTAATCTGTGCCCGAAAATGCAGCAAAACCTTTTATTCTCACATTCTACACACACAAAATCGGACACTGGACATGCTGAAATATGGTGTATTGTGGGTCAAAAGACCGTTGTCTCCTTTCAAGGAATATAACCGTTTCGAACAAGGACCCTGCACTCCCTATCCCTACGAATATCAAATGGTTGTTCCCCCATCTTAATAACAATTTGACAGATGGTACAGATTACATTTAAACCTGAACTTGAAATTGGCAACTGCCGCTTCAGGCATACTGAGAGATCGGAGATGTCACGAGGTACTCACATTTCCAGACAGAATGATGTCACTTCCGGAATTGACCTGCAAGAAAGCGTTCCCCTCGTCCAGGTCCCGGAACAGGCCCTCGGGAACACTGTTGACGCTGCCACTCATCTGCAGTAACAAAGGGTAGATTCGTGACGTGTCACTTTGGATACAGTTGATATTCATGTCAAAGTCAAATTAGTTTATTTGTGTGTAGCCTTTGGCCCAATTACAAGAAATGCGCCGCCATATAGCTGGAATATTGCTAAGTGCGGCGTTAAACAACAAACAAACAAAACAAAAACAAGAAAAACAGTGCCAATATGTGAAGCACATTACATAGATTTTACGATTTCATGTCTTTGTTTATACGCATAATATACGTAATATTGCAGACGTTTTAATAACTCATTCTGAGTTTTACACAATAATTTTTTGAATTTATATATAGTTGGAAACTTCCAATACAATTCTGGCAAATAAACTTTACGCAGCTCAGTATAATGTTTAAAGATCAATACGAAATGATATATTTATCTTCAACACACATATTGCAAACAGGACACATGCGTAAACATGATTCAATAGATTGCCATCTACCCTCGTTCTGTCGTAAAGGTAAAACGTTACATATTAATTTAATAAAAACACTGCGTACATGTTTGCCATTGTAAATGTTCAAATATCTTGGTTCAAACAGTGTTTTTCAGCAACCCATGCTTGCCGTAAAAGATGACTATGCTTGTCGTAAGAGGCGACTAACTGTCTGTCTCCGTCAAATATATATGTGTGTGAGTATATATACTTGTATAATGGACTGGTGGCCTAATTACGGAATAAACAACATCACTAACGGGATCAGGTGGTCGGACTCGCTGACTTTGTTGATTCATGTCATCGTTTCCCAATTGCGTGGATCGATGCTCGTGATGTCAATCACTGGAATGTCTGGTCCAGACTCGATTATTTACAGACCGCCGACATATACCTGGAATATTGCTGAGTGCGGCGTTTAACAAAAAACAAACTTCCTTTCGACCAATTGTCAGAGTAGGTCCCGAGTACCTCATGTTTAATGGTATTCCAGTCATACCACATCTGCCAGCTTGATGTCAAGAAATCCCAAAGTGATGCAGGCCTTAAAGTACTCACGGAACTGTTTTTTCGATCTCAGATTTTAAATAAATGCAGTTAATATACAAAATATATTAATATTCAAACAACTCAATTAGTACTAATTGGGCCTTGGCACAAATACAGCGTATCAAAGGTTTTTATGTCTTTTTACACGTAAAAGTGTGTAAAAATATGAACAAAACAGACTATTGTGAAACTGAGCATAACCAGGTGTTAGTAGATCAAGGTGAATGCCCATGACCTATGACACCTTGACGACAGGTGAAAATAGGTGCTAGAAACCCACGTGCATGTGATTTGTTAGTGGTTAGTGATTTTTGAGGGGCATTGTGGGATAGTGAATCATCGTCAAATTATCAGAACGTAAAAATAACATATTCCCTTCTCAAACAACAACTTACATGTCATTATTATTAAGTACATAAACATAGCTGATATTTTTATTGTTGTTTTGATCACTTTTTTCCAGGCTAATTTGCATAATGCCTATAGCCTGTTTCTGCCATGTCAATTTGGACTTAGTTTTATTTTTGAATGTTGAAAGTGCCTACATATTACCTCCTGTAAAGTACATTTTGTATTGAGCACTGAGATAAAACTAGCAAATCCAGACTAGTACTTTTCCAGTTTTGTTATTTCGTATTTACATCTACGTAATGCTTTGTGTCGATTATTAAATCCAGCAAAACAGGTTTTTTTCATTTCCATGAGTACTTTAGGCCTTTGCCACTTTAGTGAAACACACGTTGTTTCACATATGCATAAGGGACGCAACTCGAATAAAATTCTGAACTTCTTTCCACAACCAAGTATTTCTAGCAATAAAATCACACAAAGACGTCTGTAATACAAAGTGAGGTGAGGTGAGGTGAGGTGAGGTGAGGTGAGGTGAGGTGAGGTGAGGTGAAACGGGGTTTAACGTGGTCACGATTATTGCACTTATTGAGCGAGGTGCATGATGGGACATCCTTGTAAAAAGTACGCACTATTGTCGATTTGATAGTACCAGCCTACTGAGCAAGTGAGTTGGGTTTAACGCCGCTTTTAACAGTGTTCCAGTCATATCGCGGCGTGTCAGCTTAATGTGGGAGGAAAGCCCGAAGTGACCCCAAGAGCACGGGTTAGGTTTCTGACAAAAATAGAAACATGATCGGGACGAACCGGGATTCGAACCCACAATCATAGGTTTCTGGCGTGCCCAAGGGACGCAACTCTGCACAGAGAATCGCGGCGCCTTAGACGACTGGGCCACCCGTGCCCCCACTAGCCCACTGAGACACCATGTCCCAGTTTTAACATGGAAACCCCACTCAGACACAATATACAGACTCCGAGCAGACCTGTCCTAGTTTAATTCCCTGAAAGCCGAGCGCCCAGCAGTGTCAGGAATCACCAGGAAGCGAAGTATTTACCATTTTTGTCTCGAAGAGGGTCCACGGTTCTTGTTTCTCTGACGTCCCTAGGACAGCTGTGCTCATCAGACTGTTGCCATAGGTACCCAGCATAAGACTGAACGTCTCATCGGTTGCCTGGGAGACAATGACGTCATAATGGAGACTGCAGCCGACATCCATGGACAGCCAGGCATGCGCTGCCGCACCCTCGCTGTCGGTGGTGACGGGGACGAGCGTGACAGGGTAGACGCCGACGTCTTGAAAGTGGGTGTGGTAGGGGATGCTGGTGACGCGGCCTCGGAGGTTGCTGGACTTCTTACCAGAGGTGACGACGTTGATGAACAGTTTGTTGTTGAGAAGCAAATCAATGTCGTCTGCTTTCAGTTTCTTGTACGTTCCATTGGCCTAGAAGAAGAAGAGTGAGTGGGTGAGTTGTGTTTAACAGTATTCCAGTTATATCGCGCGTGTCAGCTTAATGTGGGAGGAAAGCCCGAAGTGATGCATACCGCCGTCATATAGCTGGAATATTGCTGAGTGCGGCGTTAAACAACAACAACAACAACAAAAATCTAAATCCCACAATCAGCGGATCCTGACATTGTAAGAACTCCATACTGCGACTCAGGCAACGTGGTCATCCCGGCCATAATGATTTTTTTTAATGTCAACAAACATACTCTTTGAGAAAAGGATATTTATTTTTAACTAAGATACCGATCTGAAACCCGGTTCGGATACAATACGTTCGACCATTTGTACTCACCCATCCACTGAAAGAGTCAATGTCCTCTTTGAAGGTGTTCTGAAGATTGGCCACGACCTTCCGCTTTCCCTTCTTGTTGGGAGGGCCCACAAGCCGGATGCGCGCCACCTTGCTGTCAAGGCCGACAACTCTGATGTTGTAGGAAATGTAGCCTTGCTCGCGGACATCCAAGATGGCGGTTCCGGCTGCGGGTGAAGGGGCATGCTTCACCGACTGGAACCCCGACATCAACGACTGGAAGACTGCAAAGATTAGAACCATGTTACATGTCTGACTACATCAAGTACTAGCCATCAAGTTATGTAAGCCACCACTTCAGAGTCAGCCGCGTAAGAACACGTGTTAAAATTGTTCTTCAGCAACCCATGCTAGTCTCTTCCAGATTATCTTGTTTGTTAAACGCCGCACCAATATTACAACTGTTTGACGGCGGTCTGTAAATAATCGAGTCTGAATCAGGCAATCAACACACCAATATTATACCTGTTTGACGGCGGTCTGTAAATAATCGAGTCTTAACCAGACAATCAAGTGATTGACATCATGAATTTCGATCCACGCAATTTGGATACGATGACATGCATCAACCAAGTCAGCTAGCCTGACCACCCGATTCCGATGGTCGCCTCTGACGACAACCATGGGTTGCTGAAGACTGATCTAGACATGCCAAAATTGTGTGAAGTAGACGAGTTCGACCCACGATAGTATGGTCACAGAAAGGTTAATGTTAATGGTTGGTGTTTTTTAGTAGATCTATACATACCTTCACAGGTCAACCTGGGTTGGATATTTCCACTGACGGTATTTCCTCCTCGTGACGTCACACGGAGCACGAGACGGCCACGTGCCAGCTGTTTCGATTCCCGCTTTTTGGTCATCTTCCATGTTCCCGTCAGCGTATTACTCTGAGGGAACAGACAACGAGAGATGTGAACAATATGGTGGGAGATAGCAACAGCGATATGTTGGTGATCCAGTTGTTACAGAAATGGCAGACTAGCTGCTGTACGTCGGTTAAAGTGAGGGAATGAGTGAGTTTGATTTTACGCCGCTTTTAGCAATATTCCAGCAATATCACGGCGGGGGACACCAGAAATGGGCGTCAGACATTGTACCCAAGTCGGGAATCGAACCCGGGTCTTCGGCGTGACGAGCGAAGGCTTTAACCGCTAGGCTACCCGACCGCCCCTCCGGTTTAAGTGAGGGAATGAGTATGGTCTTACGCCGCTTTTAGCAATATTCGAGAAATAGGGGCCATCAGAAATAAGCTTCACACATTGTACCCATGTGTGGAATAGAACCCGGGTCTTTGGCATGACGAGCGAACGTCCACTGAGCTACCCGACCGCCCCTTTAAGCATTAAAACAGCGATTGGGATGATTTTTTTCAAAAATATTTTGTGTAGTGGCGGATTTTGTAACGAGAGGATCAGCAGCAACCATCTTGAAACAACTGATATTAAGGATGAACACAGAGATGAGAGTATACGGTAACCCCAGCTGGGTGTGACTTTCTGATAATCGATATAATGTGAAAGGGCAATATCGGTTTACATTAGTTAACGGATTTGTATATATCATCATGATTATTATGCTCGTAAAAAACAGGTTGCTTACCTTTCTACCGACTCTGCCCATGGACTGGTGAATGATTTTGTTGTTTTTCTCCACAGTAACATAGTACTCGCCGTTGAAATCTGGAAAAGTCAGCAGTAGTTTACGGCTATTTTTATATTGTATACGGTAGTGGGTAAGCTGGGTTTACCGGTATTTTCGTGGTATCACAGCGTGTCCGCTCAATAAGTGAGTGAGCGAGTGTGGTTTTACGCCACCTTTAGCAATATTCCAGCAATATCACGGCGGGGACACCAGAAATGGGCTTCACACATTGTACCCATGTGGGGAATCGAACCCGAGTGTTCGGCGTGACGAGCGAACACTTTAACCACTAGGCTACCCGACCGCCCTGAGAAAGGAAGAAGGGAGCCTGACGTGACATAGCTTATAGCCCTTAACCACATTGGTGAACTGTTTGCCCCGATTATGTTTCTAGGTTTGTCAGCACCACAACCATGCTCGTAGTTCCATCAATGTGGTAAACGTGTGACACCTCCATCACTTTGGGCTTTCCTCCCAACTCACCCATTCACTGTAGTGCGAGTGTGAATGAGTGAGTTTGATTTAAGGCCGCTTTTAGCAATATTCCAGCAATATCACGGCGGGGGACACCAGAAATGGGCTTTACACATTGTACCCATGTCGGGAATCGAACCCGGGTCTTCGGCGTGACGAGCGAACGCTTCAACCACTAGGCTACCTGACCGCACCTCATTTACTATAGTGAAACGCACGAACACGAGTATGGTGCTGACAAACTTCGAAATATAATCAGCGCTAAGCAGGGATTCGAACCGATGAGGTGAGGTGAAATTGGGTTTTACAACCCGTCCAAGATCATTGCACTTATATAGCGACGTGCATGTACGTGTGTGGCTGCTTGTACTAGTCCGTACTGATGCCGATTTATAGTGCTAGCACACTGAGATACCATGCTGCAGTTTAACATGAATACCCCACTCAGACACAGTATACTGATTCCGAGACGATCAGTCCTTGTTTTAGCCCCTTAATGCCGAGCGCCAGACAGGGTAACAACAAGTACCATCTTTTAACGTCTTTTGGTATGACGCGGCCGGGGATCGAACCCCGGACCTTCCGCTCTCCGGGCGAACGCTCTACCACTGGACCACGGAGACGTCGAACCGATGATCACGGGTATCTGGGACACCTTAACATGGTACAACACTTTGCCGTGGTGTGGAAAAGGCGTTGTGTAGTCATTGTGTTCCCTCATGGGGCCCATGCCGTTCAAATGTACACTGATCAGGGGGTACACAAAGTATGTGATCTAGACCACCAGTTGTCGGACTTCCATTTGTGGAAGCTTCGGTGGCTGAGTAGGTTAGGCCTATGACTAAATGTTGGAAAGCAGGCGTCTTACTGAAAGAGTGGGTTCGAACCCCGGATGGGACTCCATCCAGAAAAGTACCAGAATTTGTACTTTGCTTAGAAAGTGTTATCCGAATTATCATACAGCCATGTCAGAATGATGAGATCTGATTGGTCCACGTGATCTTGATAAAGAACTGTGTAACCCGCTTTGTAGGGGAATATATTTCTCAGCGGGAGAATACATCTCTTATACCCCGCCACGAGCATGTCAGGCTGCACGTGGATTTCTGAGAGACAGAATAAATCCCTTCTGCCCCGCTTCCACGCAAAAAGCAGCACGCTTTTCCGAGTCAATGGACATAGCGCAAGATAACCTCAGATCAATAGAACAGATGATTTCTATCAATTTTGAATTTGTTTGAATTATTTTACAATGTCATATTAAAACATGTCGGTAAGATAAATTCGTTGTTTGTATCTCCTTAGGTTTTATACCACTCGTCTTCGGGCTCCGGTCGGTGAGTGAGTGAGTGAGTGAGTGAGTGAGTTGGGTTTAACGCCGCTTTTAACATTATTCCAGTTATATCACGACGTGTCAGCTTAATGTGGGAGGAAAGCCCGAAGTGATGCAGGTCTTAGACGTTTACCACTTCGGTGAAACCCACGAGCACGGGTATGGTGCTGACAAACCTAGAAACATAATCGGGGTGAACCGGGATTCGAACCCACAACCATAGGTTTCTGGCGTGTCCAGGGGACGCAACTCTGCACAGCGAGGCCCGTGGTGTGAAACCTAACGTGGGGCACATAATACCCCATGTACCACGAGTGGTCCTGCTTATAGTATGTTACATTTGACCACTAAAAAAAGACAGTCTATTCACGTCAGTGAGGGACTTGGAAGGCTAGAGTAATGTCGTGAATTGTAGTTAACGCTGCTTAAAACGGGTTAGCAGTTAAATCACATGTTGTTGAATGGTGGAAAACATTTAACAGTGACGCTGGTCACTTTTACCATTTTGGTTTTGGTGCAGACAGACCATGGAACATGGTTTGGATTTGAACCCACGATACCCAGACGCTTGTAGTGTTATTTTTTTGTGTTTGTTAGTAAGTGCCCAAAAGAAGTTAAAGAACGCCTGGTTCTTTCATATAAATACAGTTAATCATACCATGTAATATGTTTTGTTTGTTTCTTGTTTAACGCTGCACTCAGCAATATTCCAGCTATATGACGGCGGTCTGAACAAAATCAAGTCTGGACCAGACAATCCAGTGATTGACATCATGAGCATCGATCCACGCATTTGGGATCGATGACATGCATCAACCAAGTCAGCGAGCCTGACCACCCGATCACGTTTGTCGCCTCTTACGACTAGCAAAGTCGCCTTTTACAGCAAGCATGGTTCCTGAAGACCTATTCTACCCTGGATCTTCACGGGTCGCTGGTACTATGAATGGATGCAGCGCTGCACGGAGTTTGTCCACTTTACCCCCCGTCAGAGCAGCCTCGACGTTGCATAAGAGCTTGAGATATTCACGTTTGTTGACAGCAGGCGTGCAAGTGTATGCCTTGTCTTATAAAGAAAGGTATTTGTGTTGGATTAATGTCATACACAGGTGTGACATTCAATAGGAGGGCTGCAAGGTAACGGCTACTGACCTTTCTCTTCAAAGATGCCGTCAAACGAGATGACGTATTTCACTTGCTGCTGGGGATGGTCGTATTCAAGGGAGGCAACTCCTCCAATACCCTCCGCCTTGGGAGACCCCATAACGACAGCGAAAGTCTCTGGAAAATTTAAATATTCGTATAAATTAGCAAGGTTTCTTAAACTGGAATAGAAACAAGAGGTAAATTTAGACTTCGGTGTTTGTTAACGTGTGGGAGGTACCATGGACACCGCTTGAAAGCACCGCCATCTTAGATACGTTCTCATAGAAACGTATTTACCCTGTAAATCCTAAACGATTTATCGTGCGTGTGCGAGGAGACCCGCATTAGCACATGGTTGTAGCGGCCTTTGTGTTACGTCGTGACGTCGCAACGGTTTGACGTCTGCCTCTCGTCTCGCAGCTAGATGAAGAATTTCGGCCTCGGCACGCTCATAAACGTTCACGGAATATTAAACTCAATTACTTAGTCCAGACAGCCTCTTAACGTTTCTCAGTTTCGAACCAGTAAAATTTGTCTTTGCTTTATTCTACTCAAGCATTGGCCTTTTAAACCCCGCCGCTGACAACCCTCGCACAATGTTTCGCGAGCTCTTCCCAACATCGGAAGTCAGTCGCTGTACGCTTGGCAAGGAGTTGCGGACCCTCCCTCCATTGACGCAAGGTGGCGCTCTATTCAAGCGTCACGCGTGACTGAATGCCCGGATATGAGGAAGGAGGCGCGACAAGGAGTCTGTACATAGCGAGACTGCGGCTAATTACAACAGTAAACATCGGTGGTGTGGCGAGCTTCGACAGTGTCAACACAGAAAAATAGTATTTTCATAAATGACAATTATAACGAATAGGGTCTATTCATCTGGGGTAATTCCGGGGGCAGTGAGGGGTGAGGGGTGCAGAAGGAGGGGACGGGGTCATAGTCTAGTGAGGCCTGTGACAGATTACATCCCGAGATGTAGCACAGAGAAGATGAGTTTCTTATTAAGGGGCTTAAGGATCGGACGACCGGTCTCCCGTTTATTTAGTATTGACACAGTATAGCTGGACCCGAAGAAAGCTCACACAGACGGGCACTTAACTGTGTTGGGGATGTTTTTATACCGCTTACAATCCAAGGACACTTTGCACGAAACAAATTATAATAGGGGTAGGGGTATGACATGTCCCACCGTGTTTGCTTTCGGTATTAGGAAGATTTGTTAGTGGCCCTGGAAGACAAACTGCAAATGTATTCAATGAACCGGTTTCACATGGAAATCAGATCGGGAATCTGGATTAAGGGAAACACTTCCCCACTGACAGAAGTGAGTGAGTATGGCTTTACGCCGCTTTTAGCAATATTCCAGCAATATCACGGCGGAGGACACCTAAAATAGGCTTCACACATTGTACCCATGTGGGGAATCGAACCTTGGTCTTCGGCGTGACGAGAAAACGCTTAAACAACAAGGCTACCCGACCGGTAGAGTATAAACACTATGACATATGTTTGTTTGTATTTAACGCCGCAAGGGCGGTCTGTAAATAATCAAGCGATTGACATCATGAGCTTCGATCCACGCAATTTGGATACGATGACATGCATCAACCAAGTCAGCGAGCCTGACCACCCGATCCCAATAGACGCCTCTTGCGGCAAGCATTGTCGCCTTTCAGGGCAAGTATGGGTTACTGAAGACCTATTCTACCCCGGATCTTCACGGGTTTTTAGCAAGATAAACTGTTGCTAAAGATCATTAATATGCAAAATTATGATAAATGATATAGCAACCATAACATGGTTAAACTCTGAGAAATCACTCGAATCTGCTGATTCCGGATTTTAGAAACAACGAACCTGGAAGGTCAGTGATTCCATTACCTGAATCAACAGATTCTAGCGATTTCTCCATCACAGAAAATATGGACGATCTGTGATCAATAGATGTTTTAGCATGATGAACATTCTGAACATACCTTTCGCAGCTTGTTCGTGAGGGACAACTCGGCCGGCGATCAGTCCCTTGGTGTGTTTGGCTGCCGTGATGACAGCAAACAGACGCTTCTCTCTGAAGTACTGCAGGTAGACGGTTGGGATCTTCTGCCACACGCCGCACAGCTTTCAGTAATAAAGCACACCTGGTCAGGTACGTCGCCATTATGATGAGGCAAAGGGGACTAGATTCCATGTATTACATGTGAGAGGTGAGGTGAAATTGGTTTAACTTCGCGTCCAAGATTATTGCACTTATATAGCGACGTGCATGTACGTCTGTGTGTGTGTGTGTGGCTGCTTGTACTAGTCCGGACTGATGCCGATTTGTGGTCCTAGCTGAGATACCATGCCGCAGTTTGACATGAACACCCCACTCAGACACAGTATACTGACTCCGAGCCGACCAGTGCTTGTTTTAGCCCTTTAATGCCGAGCGCCAGACAGGGTAACAACAAGTACCATCTTTTAACGTCTTTTGGTATGACGCGGTCGGGGAACAAACCCCGGACCTTCCGCTCTCCGGGCGGACGCTCTACCACTAGACCACGTTGATTGTAAAGTAGGAGGAATCCCAAAGTGATGCAGGTCTTTGACGTTTACCACTTTGGTAAAACCCACGAACATGGGCATGGTGCTGACAAACCTAGAAACATGATACGGGCCAACCGGGATTTGAACCCATGATCTCAGGCTCCTGGCAGACCCAAGGGACGCAACTGCAGAACGATTAACGGCTGGAATCTATATCGTGTGATAACTTGACAAGTGTGTGGCATTCTTTTACACACAAAAACAAGTGTTACATTTAAGCCTTGCGATAAAACAAACGTTCCGATTGCGACGGAGGTTGTACCTTTCTCTCTCCCTTTTTGCTCTTCACGAGGGGGGTCTCGACAAGAACGTTTCCATTGGCGTCCGTTATCTGAAGGAACTTCGGCCGGTCGAGTCTGAAAAACACACACATACACTTCACTGGATAATAAACTAGCGACGGAGAGACAGGGTTTGATAAAACGAATTAAACACGCAACCAATATCGATTTGAAAACTTAAATCTAAATATTTAAGTTATACTGTCGAAACTTCGACAAGATTTTGTGAAAAGTAAACGTCGCTAGACATTCAGTTTGCGCTTACTGTAGGGGGGGGGGGGGATAAAACGTGCAGAAGAGGTTTTAACACATACACGAGCCAAACAATAAATATAAATCATCTCTTCAAAAACAAATACTAAACATTCAAAGGGAATTAAATATAAGTAGTAACGTCGACCAGAGATCGACCAGAAATGGATACAGTGAGTTTTATCCGGGAGTGACCCGTGAAGATCCGGTGTAGAATAGGTCTTCAGCAACCCATGCTTGCCGTAAAGAGTCGAAAGAGAGTAACGGGATCGGGTGGTCACGCTCCCTAACTTGGTTGAAGCATGTCATCGTGTCCCAATTGCGTGGATCGATGCTCATGATGTCAATCACTGGATTGTCTTGTCCGGACTCAATTATTTACAGACCGCCGTCATATAGCTGGAATATTGGCGAGTGCGGCGTTAAACAACAAACAAACAAACTATTGGGGAGGAGTGTTTAAACTTTTAATTCTTCACCCACCTGTTGTAGCGTACTGCATACCGGAGTTCACCATTGGTCACCGTGATGCGGACAACAGCCACGGCTTTCGTCTTCACGGGCGTGCCACGGACGTTGCGCCCAACCAACAGTGCGATAAATTCTGAAACATTAGAGAACAATAAAATTAATGCTTCTACTTTGTCAAGTATTTAATATCATGTGATACTTCGCCTAACTTCGTCCTGTGAACACCGAAAATATACTACTCAATGTCTGATAAGGAAACCGTGATGCTCATACTTCATCTACATATACTAAACAAAAAAGTTAAGGACCGATAATTTTTTATATTTTATTGAAATCGTGTGCTCAGTCTTCTCTACAAAGAAATAATACCCCTATATATTCATGATCCTTACCTTTCCATGTTCAGTATATTAGGAGTAATAAGGAGTGAGATGGGTTTAACTCCGCCTTTAGAAAAAATGACTAAGGGGTGGAATCAAGAAAATATTCAAAAATGTTAAAAAATTGAGTAGTTCACGTGGCAATGTACAGGGCCATGTAAAATCGTGGACAATTAACATGAATAAATGCTGTCCCAAATTTTTTTAAATTAAAAAAAATTATATTTATATATATTAGTCTAGACTAGAGAGGAACCTGCGGGGCGACAAAACCTAATCGTTCTAAGCAATATATGGCTTTAAACGATTTCGAGTTAACGAGATTTCACTGTATTTAAATATTTCATAAATGTTGCAATTATCACCTCCTTTGAGTTGCTTTTCATGTTCGTCTCCACTGATGGCAACCTCCTTGCCTTTGGTTTTACCGCTGATGCTGTACTGGTCTTCAAAACTACTGTCTGGAAAACAGATATAAACTGTCTGCAATATCACAACTATTTTCAAACAATACAGTAAAAATGCTTTCAAAGGAATTCCCACACTGATAGGTACGGCTGTTATTCTTTAAGAAGCATGCTATTTTAGTTACGTTAGAATCCCGACAACAAGAACCGTTTCCAGATAATATCAGTCACACAACTACCTACAATTGATGACACCGCTGTGTTGCTAACGCGCTCTGCGTAACTTATCTTGGATGGTTGGAATATGTAAGTGCGAAGCGAAGCGCAATGATGTTGGGAGAGCATTGATAACATGGCGCCACCCCCTACATAGAGTCCCGCTCATGCATCGCAGCAGAAAAAAATGTAATGGATGAGTACTGAAACCATTCTCAGAATAAACATCCACATTCAACGGCCATAGGGATACGTTGTATATCGTACATGTATGATAAAACTATATTCTACATTAAATAGGATAAATCCACTTAACGTTCAGGATAGGACGTAGATAAAAAGCCTATTACAAATTACCATCCGTCTCCGGGCGAGTTAAGACGTCATAAAATACGATTAGTTGTCAGGGTACTATCACCCGTGTCATGGATACAAATTACGTATAATTTGATATTCATGGGTGTTCCGTAACTTTTAAAACACATTATCTCGCACGACTTGGGTATGGAGATGATGTAATTAAAGTGTTGGCTCCCTGTATCAATACAACAATAATGTTAGTCGTTCGGGGGAACATTAAAACTACATTTACATATAAATGAATGCCTAAGTCCTTCATCCACCCTGAAGGCCAAACGGGACCATGGTTCAGCTGTAAATCCATCATCCCCCAAAATGCATGTCTCCAACATAATAGTTAACGAGTGTTTAACAATGGGCGAGCTAATGGCCAGGGGGAGTAACTCTCATTGTAGGAGCTACTCAGCAGCAAATCCTCGCCATTGTCACGTGGGTGGTCCAACTGAGGTATGTTTGGCGAACGGATGTGAAAAGCTCTTCAGAGACCCTGTATTTCCATATCAACTTATCCAATCATTGTTCCGCGGTGACAGAAATTGTTAAGTATGCTTTAGATTGGACCCTGAGACAATGACACTGCAACTTTTCTAACTTAGAAATGCCGGTTGTCAAAGAGATCGGTACAGGTGTCGGTGGAGGGGATCGGGTTCGGCCTTGTTACATGGTCGAGAGCGAAACTTGAAGCAGCTTCTCTAAGGCGTGAGAATTACTGATGTTATGTAAAATACGAGTGGTACTTGATGCATGGATTAAAACAGAGTCTCGATAACAAGTACAGCTGACGGTTCAAGGAAGTCTTAGGGGTGGGTTGCAGATCGACTTTCTTATGAAGGGAATCAAGTTTCTCTTTCGTCAAACGTCCCCGAGTTGAAGATAAAGCTACATTGGACTTGATTGAGGTTGATGATTGGTCTACGGATGTTGATATTTGGTCGTGTTTGATATCTGCACTCAGAAATATTCTGGAGAAATGTAAATAATCTTAAGAATTGTGAATAATCGAGATTCGACCAGTCAAATCCAGTAAGTGACATTAGTTTGTTTGTTGTTTAACGCTGCACTCAGCAATATTCCAGCTATATGATGGCGGTCTGTAAATAATCGAGTCTGGACCAGACAAACCAGTGACTGACATGATCATCGATCCACGCAATTGGGATACGATGACATGCATCAATCAACCAAGTCGGCGAGCCTGACCACCCGATCCCGTTAGTCGCCTCTTACGGCAAGCATGGGTTCCTGAAGACCTATTCTACCCCAGATCTTCACGGGTTGACATCATTAGAATCGATCTACGCGACACAATGACATGAAATCATCCAAGGGTCCGAACCTGACCACCCGATCCGTTTAGTTGCCTCTTACAACAAGGATAACTTGGCGGATCTATATTCTTAACCAGAATCCCCAGGGTTATAATATCTTGAAATGTGATTTCTACGAGTGAGTGAGTGAGTGAGTGAGTGAGTGAGTTTGTGTTTAACGCCGCTTTGAACAGTATTCCAGTTATATCGCGGCGTGTCAGCTTAATGTGGGAGGAAAGCCCGAAGTGATGCAGGTCTCCGACGTTTACCACTTCGGTGAAACACACGAGCACGGGTATGGTGCTGACAAACCTAGAAACATAATCGGGGCGAACCGGGATTCGAACCCACAATCATAGGATTCTGGCCAGCCCAAGGGACGCAACTCTGCACAGCGAATCGCGGCGCCTTAGACGACTGGGCCACCCGTGATTTCTACGACAATTTCGCTTATGCATATGGCAGTGGCTTGTTAATAATGGGTCTGGACTAGACAGCCAAGTGATTGATATTATGAGCATCGATCCACGCAGTCGGAGTACGATGACACGCTATCAACCGATGTGGACCATGCTATCCGTTTAGTCGCCTCTTACTACCAGCACCGGTTGCTAGGATACCTTGTTGACCTGGAAACCCCCCGGGGGTTAACGGGATTTATTGTGGGTCAATGTTTTGAAGATAAGGTCGAACAAAGCACAAGGACGTTAATAGAAAAATAAAAACTGTCACCAAGAACTCAATAGGAACGGACTCCAACTAAATCAGTGAGTGAATATAGTTTTACGGCGCGTTTAGTAACGTTCCTGCACTATCACAGTGGGATACACCCGAAATGGGTTTCACACATTGTTTCCATGTGGGGAATCGAACTCGGGATTTAGACGTGACAGGCGAACGTTTTAACTACTAGGCTACCCCACCGCCACGTTAGTACGTGTGCTGGCCATCCGGGCTTTCAGCAGTGTAAAGGGTAACGTCACTACGTCGTGACGAGCGAGCGCTTTGACCACTAGGCTACCCAACTACACAGCCTAGATGAGGATCGCTTACAATGTATGACCTGGCTGATTCGGTAACTTGGTTGCTTGCTTGTTGGGGAACTATGTCGGCATGGGCAGTTGCTAATGATATCAATCTCATTAAAACTAGACCTTAGTTCTCGCCACCGCTGAACAAAGATCTGAGGACATCCGATTAAGGGTCACATCAGACCAACTTTGCGTGAACTTTGACCGACCAATGGAATGACAAATCAGAAGGCAGCTTTCTCGTGCTTTACGGCACTAATTTCAAATTGGCGACTTCGCTTCGAAACATATTTTGACAAATTCAGATTAAAAATTCGAAACCTGAACAAAAAACATTCTGGAATGGCTAATAGATGGTCTAGATTGTAAGGAATCAGTCGTTAAACCCGTAACTATCGCTCGGTATACCCCATGTTAAAGTTTTCGAGGTTGTATGATTAGAAATCACATTGCGGCTGTCACTTTCATAATCTGGTAAGCGACGCACTGATTGGTTGGATGAAAGGTCGGTCTGACGTGACCCCTGATGGGATGTCTTCAGATCTTTGCTTAGCGGTAGCGAGAACTAAGGTCTGATTTTAATGAGATTGCTAATGATATCAACCACGTGTCTGCCTTCCAAGACTCGTTCACTTATAGCTTCTCACCCGGAGAATGTATAGAGAGTCGTATTCTAGGAAGGAGACACATACTAAGCGTGCACCATATTTTCAAAGCCCGAAAATAATACCAACCATTCCTACACAATACCCAACCTGCAAATGATTGAAACATAGCATTTGTCTCACTGGGGGCTATTTGATACAGTCTAGCAGCGCTGAACAGTGAAGACTTGCAAGCATACAGCATTAGCCTCAGTAAGGGTCATTTGGTACAGAACAGCAGCCCCAAACAGGGATAACGTACCTTGGCCCGGACATGTTTTGCAGCATCGTTCTGGCAGGAGGACTGGGGTGTCACACATAGGCTTGGGGCATTCATCCTTGATGTTCCTGCATACGATCTGCCCTTGATGCTGGAGAATGCCTTTCCTCTCAACCTGCAAGATTGAGTGAGTGAGTGAGAGTGAGTGAGTGGTGTCAAACGCCGACACTAGCAGCCGTATTGCGTTTGTTTGTTTGGTTGTCGTTTAACGCCGCACTCAGCAGTATTCCAGCTATATGACGACGGTCTGTGAATAATCGAAAAAAATGTTTCATAAAATGAGGGGGGTAGGCAATATATGATAGTTTTAAGACCAATCCCACTCACGCCCCTACCCAACCCCATTCCCCTCCAGCATACACGACCAGTTCCTAACGGTAAACAAAGAATGGGATTCAAACATATCCACTTTGATAACCTAAATCGGATATTCGGCGTCTGGAAGTAAAACATTAATCTTCCACATCTGGTATCAAATGTAAATAAAGAAAAATGCTTCATGTTTTCAATAGGAAATGAGGTGATAGATAACATGGAGCCTTATCAGGGCAGAGTCGTTACTTTCGCACATAAGTATACAATGAAAATAACAGCTGACTGCATGTTCGTGTCGTGTGTGCGAGTGCGTGCCTGGCCCTTGAGAACGTGCGTGTACCAAGACCACATCAGGAAAAAGAAATTTGGAGTCCATTATAAATTAAAAAGTGGTGATATTTATTCATTTTATCGACAAATGGGGCGAAATATCCCAATAAGTACCTATTACACATGAGTGAGTGAGTGAATGATGTTTTTCACAGTGCACAGTCGGCAGTATTTCTGTTATAACAGTACTTATCACGGAGTGATGACATCTTGGCAGGTGCGCAGTGGTGTGGTGAGGTGTGGTGAGGTGTGGTGACGTGAAATGGGGTTTAACGTCGCGTTCAAGACTATCGCATTTGTATGGCGACTTGCACGTACATGTGTGTGTGGCGCTTGTACTAGTCCGGACTGCTGCCGATTTATAGTGCTAGCTCACTGAGATACCATGCTGCAGTTTAACATGAATACCCCACTCAGACACAGTATACTGACTCCGAGCCGACCAGTCCTTGTTTAATCCCTTTAATGCCGAGCGCCAGGCAGGGTAACAACAAATACCATCTTTTTAACGTCTTTGAGTAATGTGAACAGGTTCCAGAATCCAAACGGGGTTATGCAACGTATGATGATGGTGCATGTGTCGTAACTGTCATAACTAATGCAATGTTATAACTAAATAGCGGACTAGGTGTGAATAAATTGATCTCCCAATATTAACATGGGCAGTGCTTTGGTCATAATTTTGTATGACCCAAACCGAGTGAGTGTGAATTGACTTTTACGCCGCTGAGAACAGTATGTAACTGTGTCAGCTTGATGTGGGAGGAAAACCAGTGATGCAGGTCTCAGATGGGGTTTTTCACTTTGGTGAAACCCACGAGCATGGATATGGTGCTGACATACCAAGAAACATGATCTGGGCGAACCGGGAATCGAACCCACGGTCATAAGTTTCTGGCGTCCCCAAGGGACACAACTCTGAACAGCGAACAGCCGCACCTAAGACGACTAGGCACCGTACCCCACAGACCCAAATCGAACCTTCATGATAGACATATCTAGGTTTCCCTTACGTTCATAGTGACATCACGTGTGTGTACCTATAACAGACTTGTACAACATTTTGGGACTCCGCCTGTTGGCAGTGGAACCAGTTTAAGATGAAGATGAAGATATTCATTTGAAACCATAGGCTAGGGCGTGCCTGTATCTGATGAAAGCAAGGGGATGTGGCCACCCCATTTGTCAAAGCCACCCTTTCAAGAAAAGTCACTCTTGTCATATCCCGAGGCTTAATGATCCCATTTGGATATTTATCATATTGCCGCGTGACCCATTACTCGATCGCCATTTTGAATCTACCGTTATGAGATCAGATTATTGCAAATGTGGTGTTCACTCGCGCAGTCCTGGTAGCTATTGTAATTCCCCCGTGAATTCAAAGAAAGTAGGTCGAATATATTCACATTTGAGTATCAATTATATCCCCAGCTTCTGATACGAGTGACGGCTTCCCGTTCCTTCAATGTAGACGTTGGACTATCAGACATAGGTATGTGGGGCTTGTGTATAGACCGCTGCCACGTGCTAGCTCTGGCAGGTATCGCGTTCATGTCTCGCGCCCTACTGCCTCTCCATCAGAGCCCCGCTAATTGGTGATAGCAGTAGCCGATCGGCTCCCCAGGGGGTAGTTGGGGAGGATAGGGTGGGTGGTGGAAGCAACTGTTTCAGGGGTAAAGCCAGGAAAGAGAGGGTGGTAGAAGCGAATGATGGCTCCCCAGGGGTAGGGGAACTCAAGGTGGATCGCGTTTCACGTTCCTAGACCAAGAATGGTGAGTGAGTGAGTGAGTGAGGTTGTTACGCCGCTTTTAGCAATAATCGAGCAATATCACGGCGGGGGACGCCGCTAATGGGCTTCACACATTGTACCCAGTTTGGGAATCGAACCTGGGTCTTCGACGTAATGAGCAAACGCTTTAACCACTAGGCTACACCACCGCCCCTAGATCAAGAATAGGGGTGGTTCTGTGTGGGTTTAATTAGGACGCGACGTAAGTTAAGGGATCTCTGCCAGGCAAACGAAGGGTTAATAGTGAGAGCACTGATGTGAATGCGATAATCAGCCAGGTGACACAATGTAACTGGTCAGCAGCCATTGCGCTTTACAACCATGAATACCAGGATTGCGTGACACAATCGGGTGACGTGAGGAACAATGGCGGGTGACGAGAGGAACAATGTCGGGTGACGAGAGGAACAATGTCGGGTGACGAGAGGAACAATGTCGAGTGACGGGAGGAACAATGTCGGTGACGGGAGGAACACAATTTCGGGTGACGGGAGGAACACAATGTCGGGTGACGGGAGGAACACAATGTCGGGTGACGGGAGGAACACAATGTCGGGTGACGGGAGGAACAATGTCGGGTGACGAGAGGAACAATGTCGGGTGACGAGAGGAACAATGTCGGGTGACGAGAGGAACAATGTCGGGTGTCGGGTGACGGGAAGAACACAATGTCGGGTGACGAGAGGAACAATGTCGGGTGACGAGAGGAACAATGTCGAGTGACGGGAGGAACAATGTAGGGTGACGGGAGGAACACAATTTCGGGTGACGGGAGGAACACAATGTCGGGTGACGGGAGGAACAATGTCGGGTGACGAGAGGAACAATGTCGGGTGACGAGAGGAACAATGTCGGGTGACGAGTGGAACAATGTCGGGTGACGAGAGGAACAATGTCGGGTGACGAGTGGAACAATGTCGGGTGACGAGAGGAACAATGTCGGGTGTCGGGTGACGGGAGGAACACAATGTCGGGTGACGAGAGGAACAATGTCGGGTGACGGGAGGAACACAATTTCGGGTGACGGGAGGAACACAATGTCGGGTGACGGGAGGAACAATGTCGGGTGACGGGAGGAACAATGTCGGGTGACGAGAGGGACAATGTCGGGTGACAAGAGGAACAATGTCGGGTGACGGGAGGAACAATGTCGAGTGACGGGAGGAACAATGTCGAGTGACGGGAGGAACAATGTCAGGTGACAGGAGGATGACAATATTAGGTGAAGAGAGGAACTCTATTTTGGGGGAGGCAGGTGGTGTTGAAAGAGGAATCAGGTTCGCGTCCTCGAGGCAGGCATTTGCCTTAAGATAAGGAAGTGGCAGCTAAAGTACGGTTTGTTCGGCTCGGCGACGATGCTTATTCTATAAGTGCATTCCGTTAACAAGCAGGTTTTAGATCGCGGAGTATCAATAGCGAGTCAGTCGAGCTGGGTTTAACGTCACTAGGAACAGACTTTCATGTAGATCGCGTGGTTAAGGTTAAAGAACAGACGCGTCGTCGGAGTGCGATGACACACAAGGCCAGCCAGCTAACAGGCTCGATCGCGCACCAAACACCAGATACTCATTTTACGATTATTCTGACGGCAAAAAGCACAGGAACATTATAAACACAAATGGGCGATGGAATGGATTTTTCAAAAGAAGAAAATTATTTTCTAAAGCTACTCCAATTTGTAAGTTTCAAAAAGAACAACAAAACACAACAAGGATATAATTAAAATGCGAGCACATTTATCATCCTGCCAATTAAAAAGCGGAAGTTCGATGTGGCAGGTCGCATGAGCCTAAGGGGCTTCGTGGGTTCTTATAAAGTTTAACATCGTTGTTTATTATTGCTCGGCAGTGAGACTGCACATGGAGGGAGCTATTGCATGTATTCGTGGAATGTAGGAGGCCCGTGTGCGGCGTGGTCACCGTATCCCATGTAGGTGGATTGAGTTTAGTTTTACGAGGGAGAGAACACAGCCCGGTGGCACGGGTGACGGAGGACAGAACATGGGAGTGAACATCGTCACCTAGTGTGCTGTACCGTGCGTACTTCGGTCAATCTGGATGGGGGATCTCGTCACGGGTGTAATACTGTGTGGGTGGGGGTCTATCACGGGTGTAATACTGTGTGGGGTGGGGGGTCTCGTCACGGGTGTAATACTGTGGGGGTGGGTCTCATCACGGGTGTAATACTGTGTGGGGTGGGGGACCTACCACGGGTGTAATACTGTGTGTGTGTGTGGGGGGGGGGGGGGGGGGGGTCTATCGCGGGCGTATACTGTGTGGGGTGGGGGATCTAGACAAGGGTGTACTACTGTGTGGGATGGGGGATCTTGACAAGGGTGTACTACTGTGTGTTTGGGGGTCTACCACGGGTGTAATACCGTGGGGGGTGGGGGATCTAGTCAAGGGTGTAATACTGTGTGGGTGGGGGACCTACCACGGGTGTAATACTGTGTGGGGGTGGGGGTCTATCAAGGGTGAAATATTGTGTGTGTGTGGGGGGGGGGGGGGGGGGGGGGGGGGGGGTCTATCGCGGGTGTATTCAATGTGGGCGGGGGTCTACTATCACGGGTGTACTACTGTGTGGATTGGGAATCTACCGATTCTGGTATTTAGGATAACATGTTGTAATGGTGTCGGGTGGATTGTTGGTTTGGGTGTATGTAGAGGGTAGATGGTTTAATC